AGGCGCTAGGTGAAATGAATGAGAATGGAGAATTGTTTGCAGAATTCTGCGCATTCAACGATTTGGTGATTGGAGGCAGTGTGTTCAGGCACAAAGATATCCACAAAGCGACATGGATTTCACCAGATGAACACACTAAAAATCAAATCGACTTTATCTCAATCTCAAGAAAATGGAGACGCAGTCTACTTAACACAAGGTCAAGAAGAGGAGCAGATGTAGGTTCACACCACTCACTATCTAGTGCAAGGAACCTTCCAAATCAAGTTAAAAGCCTTCAAGGAAGCTGGTGATAGACCTCAATTCAAGTACAACACTCGGAAACTGAAGGATGAAACTACAAAGGAGATCTTCAAGGCAGCCATCAAGACAAAATGGGAGATATCGAGGAACATCCCTGAAGAAACCTGTGTGGAAGAACACTGGAAGTCTTTGAAAGCTATGTGGAAAGAAACCTGCACAACAGTATTAGGAAGGAAGAAGAAAGAAGACAAGGAATGGATATAGATGGATACGTGGAAGCTGATAGAGGAGAGGAGGATGGTGAAGCAGAAGATAAACCAGTGCAAGGATGCTCAACGACAAGAGGAACTGAGCACAATGTATAAAACACTGGACAAAGAAGTGAAGAAGAGTGCACGCAAAGACAAAAGACACTTCTACGAAACACTGGCAAGTGAAGCAGAACAGGCTGCAGGTAAGAGAGACCTGACGACATTGTATCAAATAACCAGGTTGCTATCAGGGAAGAGACCAACACAGATGAAACCAATAAAAGATGAGGAAGGAAATTTAATTACGAAAGAAGAGAAACAGAGGAAACGATGGGCCGACCACTTCAAGAAGCTCTTGAATCGACCACCACCTGCACTCCGTCCAGAAATACCACCTGCAGCCGCTGAATTACAAGTGAACATAAATCCTCCAACAAAAATGGAAGTCCTGAACGCCATAAAGCTACTGAAATGTGGGAAAGCAGCAGGACCAGATGGAATCCCGCCAGAAGCACTGAGAACAGATGCAGAGACAACAGCAGACATGCTCACACTACACCACTATTGCAGAAGGTGTGGAAGGAAGAGAAGGTACCTGACGATTGGAAGAAGGGTTACCTTGTCAAACTGCCGAAGAAGGGAGATTTCAGTGCCTGCAAGAACTGGCGCGGAATCACTCTCCTGTCCACCCCAAGTAAAATATTAAGCCACATCATCCTGGAGAGGCTTAAAGACACACTGGATTCAAAACTACGACCGGAACAGGCAGGCTTCAGGAAGTACAAATCATGTGCAGACCAAATTGCAACGCTACACTACACATCATCATAGAACAGAGCATAGAATGGCAATCAGCTCTCTACCTCAACTTCATCGACTTTGAGAAGGCCTTTGACAGCGTCGACCGAGAAGTAATTTGGAAACTGCTTCAATAATACGGAGTACCGCAAACCTTTATCCGCCTCATTCAACAACTATATGAAGACTCCACATGCCAAGTAATTCACAATGGGAAGCTCAGTGATGCTTTTGAAGTGAAGTGAAGACAGGAGTGAAACAAGGTTGCCTACTATCACCCATGATATTCCTTATTGTGGTGGACTGGATCATGCAGCAAACAGTAGGCAGCGAGAAGAGGGGGATACGCTGGACGGCGGAAAAGAACCTTGAAGACTTGGATTTCGCCGATGACTTGTGCCTGATGTCACATAAACTTGAAGATCTGTAGGCAAAAACTAACAAGTTGATAGAAGAGGCAGCGAAGACGGGACTTCAGGTGAATATAGAGAAGACAGAAGTGATGAAGATACCGCACCACCACCATCAACAACAACAACAAACTCCAATCACCGTCAACGGGAGAAACTTAAAGGAAGTAACCTCCTTCACTTATCTAGGAAGCACTGTCTCAACTACAGGCGGGACGGACGAGGACGTCAAAGTCAGAATCGGAAAAGCAAGACAGGTGTTCATTAGCCTGAAACCAGTGTGGAGATCTTCTGCACTCAGCATGCGGAACAAGATACGGATTTTCAACACCAACGTCAAGTCAGTGCTCTTGTATGGCTCAGAGACTTGGCGCGTCACGAAAGGCATTTCCAATAAACTACAGACATTCATCAACAACTGCTTACGCTCGCTGCTGAAGATCAGATGGCCAGAAAAAATAAGCAACAAGGAACTCTGGGAACGAACCAACCAAGAACCTATCACGCAACAAATATGCAGGAAGAAGTGGAGATGGATTGGCCATGCACTGAGAAGGCCGACTGAGGACATCACGCGTCAGGCCCTCGAGTGGAATCCCCATGGGAAACGACGAGTTGGACGTCCGAGGGTGACATGGAGGAGGTCGTGCGAGGAAGAAATGAGAGCTTGTGGACTGTCGTGGAACCAGGTCCAAAAGATCTCAGAGAACAGAGGTCACTGGAGGCGTGCTACTGAAGCCCTATGTTCCACTAGGAACCCAAGGGACTAATAATAATAATAATAATAATAATAATAATAATAATAATAATAATAATAATAATAATAATATGCTTAACAAGATATCAATGATTTGAGCGTCAATTTCTCATGCATTTACTCACCTTCCTTACAATGTACCTTACGTGCGTACTGATCAGTTGACAGACTTCTGAATGTATCTTATTTCATGAAGTTTCTCTTCTAAGCTAAACCAGTTTGAAATTATATTAAAACCTTATATTCCAGTTGAACGTACTTTGATGTTGATTTGCACACACGAATGCCTCAATATCTAGGTGATTCTATCTTTGAGATTGATTCACGTGAGTGGCCTGGTTGTAGCTTTTACAACTTTAGTTTATTTTGGTATAGCATTTTTGTCACGCTGGTATGACTGCGCATATGCACTGCGTACACAGAAGTTTGTATGTTGCTATTTGGGCTGCGGTCAATAAGATGCAATGTATAAGATGGTTTACACTTTCACATTTTTGAAAATCAGTTTTCACACGTCACCAATACATTGTTATGCACTATAATCGTATTTTACTAGTATGAAGGAAAGTAGGAATAGCATATTATTACCGATGTTTTGGTTCCATAAACTGCAATCTCACCCCCGAATACATGTCACCAGTTGGTAAGAAGTTAGGATACAGAATTTTATTTCACTTGCGTTAGGCAGACCGTAGTTACTGTTTACATGGAGTTGGTTGATGCCATCAGATGAGTTTTTATTACCATGCAAATCAGAGAATATCATTCGAAGGAAAATAAATAAATTCAACTCTATAAACACGCACAAGCAACAAGCCATAACTATTAGGGCCGACTCCTAAAATCCTTGGTGAGAAAACAGCAACTAAAAACTTTGACAATGGACGAATGCCGAGTAGATTATCTGATGATCAACATCATCAACATATAGCCGGACATTACTGCGTAACAATCCAAGGTGGCATACCTCATATCAGCACATCACGTAACAAAGTAGTACGATAAAGGATGAAGAAAGAATGAAAAATGGGTCAAAAGTAGTAGAATGCAGTAAAAGAGAGGAAGGAAGAATGAGATTAGATTACGTATAGCGGTTAAGATGAGGATAATGTGTATACATCCGCGCCACTGACATCGGTCTGAGTTATATCACCTAGTCTCTAACCACTGTTTTTTTTTGTCCCACGGAACCCAACCAGCTAGTCTGCATCGCCCTACGTGGCTCAAACCAACAGTTGAGGACTTCATGCAGTGATGTCATGTTTTAGTCTGGCCGCCTCGGGCATTTTTCTAGTCTGGACCTACTTCGACCAACATTGTGTGACGAGGCAGACGATGGCTAGGCATACGTACCACATGTTCCAGCTATCTCAGTCGATGAAGGTTCCGAACCATATCAACAGTTCTACCTTTCCTCCCTAAAACTCGACACCTGACTTCTGGGTTACTAATGTGGTAACACCATGATACACGACCTATGCTCCGAAGATAACGGGTAGTTAAACCACAGAAGCCCTCACATGTCTTTTACCTTTAACGGCCATTCTTCGAAAGCATAAGGAGAATAAAGAAAACTCCGGCACAATATACGCAACCATTAACCGACTTTCAGGTATTGCGGCAGCGCCACAGATACGTAAGTTGGCAAAAGCCGACCGAGCCTTTTGTATCCGTGCAAAGATTTCGTCGGCCAACACGCCTGACTCGACTTTTCAGGCAACTTAAGTGTTTAACGCACTCGACCACATCACTTTCTTTTGTTAGCCGGGGTATCGTTGAGTACCAGTTCTGCAGTAACAATTTGCATTAAGGTGATGAGAAACGCATCCCAAACATTCTCAAATTGCCATTCAAGGTGTCTGGAAGACTGCATCTTGTCAGCATCTTAAGCTAACAGGACTATGTCATTTGCATATTCTAGATCTACCGAGGATTCTCCAGCGATATTGATACCTGTGAACGTCTATGACGCAACTGAACAAGAATGGAGAGAGTGGGCAATTATCTAACAAGCTCAAGCTCTACCCAAAAGGTAACACTAAATGAAACTGACTCTGTAACCTTACAAGGCAGTTGAATCCATATTTACATTCATTTCGGGGTTAGTAGAGGAAAAGATTCCTGAAGTGATGTAGCAAGCTACGAATCCTAACACTGATTCGACACTACACCAGTCAGTGGTTCAAGTTGAACAATATTCTATTAAGCTGTTTTATAAGGAATGTGTTCCCCTGCTAAGCCACGGTTTGAACAACTTAATGGTAGAGCGTGTGCCTTTAGGGCGAAGTGACGTAAGTTTCAATCGTCGAATGAACACCTATCACTTCATGGTTTCAAATATATCTTGTTCATGAGTGTCAGCAAACGCGAAGCATAAATCCAGAATTTTACACTTAACATCCAGCATAAAGTTTACACTACTCCGATATAAGTAGAAATTTTATCTTACAAGAACAAAATTAAAGGTTACATTGAACACATAAAATAAATGAAGTTATTCGTTACATTTAGCAAAAATTAATCATTTCACACACAACATACTCGTTTTCTTCGCAGATGGATGACACAGATGAGTTGCTAACTTCATCATCCGAAATCTATTAGAATTTGACAGAAACAAAGACAAGACCAAATTAGTTTCAGTGAGAAGTTTATCATCATATACGATATTCAAATTCTTCTGCTACGTAATACATTACTTAATTTATGTTTATTTCGCCGAATTACATTCGGTTTTCGCGGCTGATTATCCCAAAAAATGGAGCTGTTATGCTCAAAATGTGAAGAGTTCTATCAAAAGGTAGTGACAAAATGTAAGCTACACTAAACGAATTTAACAGAAAATTATGGTGGAGATAGCAACCTTTGGTGTAAATGATTAAATTCTAAAAGCGATTTTGTTTCAATATGAACATCCGGACAGAGTATTACGGCCAACACAAAAATTATAAATCAACATTAAAAATGAAGTATACCAAGTGCTCATGAAATCTTCATCTGATAAAGTTTCTACTCAATTATTTAACTTAGTATATTTATATCGTCGTTATTTTTACGCGCAAACTGTTCTGTCTCTTCATTATCATTTTTACAGTGCGAAAAACGCTAAGGATGAGTTTTACTATTATCTAGGTAACCTAAATCAGGTGGTTGACAGAGATCGTACAACTGGTTAGGAACTGAATGCATAGGTTGGGTATATAAACTAAGAGAAGAGTCGTTTAGATGGTTAATGAAGATAAATCACTCGCAGGTCACAGGAATTCCTCTTCTGAAGCTGTACGCGATTCACAAACTATTTGTGGCCGGCACCGAATTCCTGCATAGCAATCACTGTTTGGCTACTTAGAGTCCTTCCTTTGCTACTCAAGGTTGGACTGGAATAAATCATATCGCAATTAGTTACCCATGGCATGGGTATATTCAGAACTTCAACTCCTCCTGGAACATGTGTCTAGACTCTGACCACGTCTTAGTGAAGACTAAGCTCATCTTGCACTTTGAGGACAATGGAAATTGCTGCCCTGAAAAGATAACGTCGTTAAATAGGTTGCATTGGCCAACCTAACGAAATGGGAGTCCAGAAAGAGCTTCATGCACTACAGCAACATAAAGGGTCCAACTCGACATACTCTCTTTCAACTCTTGTAAACATGGAGGTGAGACTGGTTAGGGAACTAACTAGGTTGTTCTAGAATGAATGGCGGACTGAGTGCCACGCAAATCTGGAATGAGGTTATCCCTATCCTTAACTTGTAAAATGGGTTGGGATAATATATGCGACAATCACCGAAGTATGTCACATACCAGCTGCTTCGAAAAGATTGACTGCTGTTATGCTTCGCATGCTTTAGGAAACACATGAAGAGGTGACTGAGTAGGAGTAGGTCGGATTCCATTCAGATTACGGATGCACTGATCGTGTGTCAATTCTGTATGAAATGCTGGAATACTGTCTCGCGGACTGCAGACGAACAGTTGGCGTGCTTCTTGATATCAAGAGTTACTTTCGATTTTTTAGATAGGGTTGCATTTGAAACTATAGGTTAGCAATGGATACCCTTAAGAAGTTTTTCATATCTAAAACATCACAAACAGAATGAGAGCAAACAGTCGACTTCTTTTATTAGCAAGACAATGGGGTTAGGCGCGGCTACCTAATTTCATCACTCCTCTTTAATTTTACCACCCACGACATTTTCGAGACAGCTTTGAAGGAGATATGCGATTGTGTAGACTTGTTATTAGGTGAGAGAAGCTCCAGCCTTGAGTACACGGACGATATCGTTTTACTAGGCACTAACACTAACATACAAGCTTGCAGACTAGGTGGTTGGGGTCCACGGGACAAGAGGAACCAGTAGTTGGAGACTCTAGGGGATATGGCTCAGAACCGATGTCAGTGGTGCAGATGTATACACACATTATCCTCATCTTAACGACGCCATGACAAATCTCACCATTTGGTCATTCCTCTTTTCTTTCTTCTTGTACTTTATATTTCTTTTGACTGCATTCTCTTATCTTCATCCTTCACCTCACTACCTTCCTACTTGATGTACTGATATGAGCTGTGGCAACTCGGACCGTTACGCAGTAATGCCTGGTCCTATGTTGATATTGATTGACTGATTGAACATACAAGCTACCCAAATCCCAATTAATCAGTTATTTATCAGTATCGTTAAGTACGGTAAGTGCTTAGAGCTACAGAACTGAAACATGCTTTTACACAACTGATAAGAGACTGTACCTGCACCTATCTTTGGCACTGCACCCTTCAAACGTGTACCTAGATTCTTGTCTAAATTACTGGTGATGTGACCGATTAGATCTCTTTTTTGGGTGTCGAAAGCTACAGAGACATACGTCAATCTAGGTCACATTTAGTAGTGTTGTGACGTTAGTCTTGCTTCAAAAGTTAGGATAAACAATGCATCGGCGTGGGAATTTGTGCTGTAAAACCTGGCCTGCATGAGCCTTAAATATTGGAGAACTATGTGCCTTCAATCATCGTTTTTTATGTAGGGTCCTTAGCAGCCGATAATTAATTCTGGGGTGAGGCGACTAGTGTTTGGGCGTCATGAAGATCATCATTCACTAAGCGAAATCATCTTGAAATGTCAGCTCCGATGGCCTGAAAATGTGTTACAAACGTTGTTTCAGCGGTTCCTACACCGTTCACTGATTGCTAGGAAATGTTGAGAAGAATGGAGAAGTTACTAAAGTATTACACAATGTCATGGGATGAAGGATATTTATTTCGAGTTAACATTTGCCAGTGATTCATGATTCTCTGGATGAAGTTCTGAGAGATCGCACAACTCAACGACTTGAGACGGTAGCAGGTGTGACCTATAAACGAAACCAAGTTTCCATGCTGCAGCTTTCTGGCTTCCTCTGCTATTGAAAATTAAGGTGAAAGTGATGAACACTTCTGTGAATATATCATAGATTTTTCTTGATAATCCATTTACTTTTGTTCTTCTCTATAGATCACTTTTATGTCTTCCTAATATCCCTATATTATTTTGTGTGGTGCATTTCTTCATATCTACACTGGATTGATTTAGTATTTTAAACAATAAAAATAACAATAACATAAACATGAAAGCAGATTAATTTGTTACATCGCACTGCTGAAAAATGGTCTGTGACTGCAATGCAGCCGTTTCTTGTATGCCACCAAATGTGAAACATTATATATTTGTGATATTATACCAGGGAAGATTTCACAATATAATTATTAATAACTCAGGAATTTTTATAACAAATGCATAGCTATATTGTTTATGCAGTTATCAAAGTGTATTAACATAAAACCAACCCAAAAAAATTATTGAGAATTGTCTTAAGACTTTATTGTTAAAAATCAACTTCAGACAAATATATATGCAGGTGCAACTTACTTGAATAGAACTTTCAGAATGCATCATATGAAGTGAATGACTAATTGTGATAGGTCTTTGCGAAACTGGAGCATCAGGAGCGGACACTTTAGTAGAAGCAACTGAAGTTGGAGAGATAACTACTTCAGAGCATTCATTATCAGAGTTATCAACATTGCTTTGTGAATATAAGGATTTTTGGGTTGACGATTCAATCGCGTAGTCTTCAACTGCATCATGTTCACCATAGTTAGCCTCGTCTAAAATTTAAAGTGGTCATAAAGCACTTCGTAAGCTAGTGAGATATAAGCAACTGAGGAGGAACCACTTATCTAGCAGTTTCCCTACAACTAACTTGAAGAGCTGAATTTATTCCATTTAGTGTGAAGAATCGTCTATACAAAATGAAAGTAATACATTATTTAAATTGAGACCAATTTTCATAAATAGGAGGACTAAGATAATGAACAGTAACCTCGCCCGGTTAACCAGTTCACTAGTTACTAGCCGATCCCAAGCCCAGGTAAAGAGGGAAGGTTGAACATAGGGCTAGCAACCCTACCCAGAAAATCAATTCAATCGCTAAAGAAACTTCAAACCACTAAGAAAATATAAAAATAAAAACAAACATATTCCTCGCTGGAATCGGAGAGGTAAAATGACGCCGGTTGGTGAAGGCCTTCGGGAAGCCAATTCGTCGATGTGTCTTTTCTCTCTCTCTCTCGATGAAAGCGAAAGGAAGAATGGGAACATGGAATGTCTGCACTATGTATGCACCTAGCAAGGTTGCCAAGATTGCAAAACAGATGAGAAGGTATGGCATGGAAGTGCTTGGAATCTGCGAAAGCAGATGCAGTGGAAGTGGACTCTTCAAACTCTTAACTGGGGAGTCAATAATCTACTCTGATACTGCAACCCAGATGACAACCACGAACGAGCACACTGAGTTTCCGAGTGGCTATCATGATGTCCCCAACAGCATCAAATGCTCTCTCTCATGCAGTGGAACCAATCTCCTCATGCAGGATCATGACACCAAGATGGATTCACCTCAAAAAGAAGGAAAGTCACAATCATACAATGCTACGCTATGCTATGCACCTACAAATAAAGCGGATCAAGAGAAGAAGGAGGAATTCTATAGACAACTGCAATCAACACTGGACACCACCCCAACCCAGTTGGCGACATTAAAATCCATTCTAATGGGTGACATGAATGCCAAACCTCGAGGGGACAACACAGAAAGAGAACTCATCATAGGTCGACAGGCACTTCGTGAAATGAACGAGAATGGAGAACTGTTTGTAGACTTCTGTGCATTCAACGATTCGGTGATTGGAGGGAGGCAGTGTGTACAAACACAAGGATATTCACAAGGCAGCGACATGGATTTGATTTCACCAGACACCAGGACACACTACACTAAAAATCAGATCGACTTCATCTCAATCTCAAGAAAGTGGAGACGCAGTCCACTGGACACAAAATCAGGTCAACAAGAGGAGCACATGTAGGCTCAGACCACACACCACCTAGTGCAAGGAACCTACCTGCAAAATCAACTTAAAAGCCTTCAAAGAAGTTGGTGATAGACCACAGTTCAAGTTCAACACCCACAACAGAAACTGAAGGACAAAACTACAAAGGAAATCTTCACATCAGTCAGCCATCAAGACAAAATGGGAGATATCCAGGGACATCCTTGAAGAAACCTGTGTGGAAGAACACTGGAACTATTTGAAAGCTATGAGGAAGGAAACCTGCATAACTGTATTAGGAGGGAATGGATGTTGATGGACACATGGAAGCTGATAGAGCAGGGAGAGGAGGATGGTGAAGCAGAAGACCAACCAGTGCAGAGCAGGGATGAACAACGAAAAGAAGAACTGAATACAACGCATGAAACACTGGACAAAGAAGTGAAGAAGAAGAAGAATGCACGGGAAGACAAAACACACTTCTACGACACTGCAACTGAAGCAGAGCAGGCAGCAGAAGTTCTGGATGCTGTAAAACTGCTGAAATCCAGGAAAGCAGCACGACCAGATGGAATTCCACCAGAGGCACTGAAGAGAGACACAGAGACACCAGCTGCGGACACGCTCATACCACTATTGCAGAAGGTTTGGGAGGAGGGAACGAAAGGTACCTGCCCATTGATTGGAAGAAGGGCTACCTTGTCAAACTTCCGAAGAAGAGAGACATAATTCTCTGCAAGAACTGGCGAGGAATCATGCTACTGTCCACCCAAAGCAAGCAAAATATTAAGCCGCATCATTCTGGAGAGACTAAAGGATGCGTTGGATTCAGAATTACGAACGGAACAGGCTGGCTGGCTTCAGGAGGAACAAATCATGTGCGGAGCAAATTGCAACACTACGCAACGATACGCATCATCATAGAACACAGCATAAAATGGCAGTCGACTGGATCTTAACCTCATCTTCATCGATTTTGAAAAGGCCTTCGACAGCGTCGACCGGGAAGTAATTTGTCAAGTAGCTGCTTCAACACTACGGTCTCAGTGCCACTAATCGTTATCAACCTCATTCAACAGCTATATGACGACACCACATGCCGAGTGATTCACAATGGAAAGCCCAGTGACGCCTTTGAAGTGAAGACAGGGGATAGGAGTAAGACAAGACTGCCGTCTACTTTCACCAATGATCTTCCTGATTGTGGTCGACTGGGTCATGCAGCAAACCGTGAGGAGCGAGAAGAGGGGCATACGCTGGCTGGAATGATGAAAAGACCACAGAAGATTTGGATTTCGTCGATCATGATTTATGTCTAATGTCTCGTGGTACAAACTACAGGCGAAAACTAACAAGTTGACAGAAGCGGTAGGGCAGCGAAGACGGGACACTGTTCAAGTGAATGTAGAGAAGACAGAGGTGATGAAGATACCCAACCAACTAACAACAACAAGCACCAGTCACCATTAACGGGAGAAATCTAAAACGAGGTTGTCTCTTTCAGCCACCTAGGCAAGGCAGAATCGTTTCAACTACTGGTGGCACAGACGAGGATGTCAAAACCACGACCGTAAAGGCATAACAGGCTTTCACCAATCTGAAACCAGCACTTAGCATAAAGCGTGAACAAGATCCGGATTTTCAACACTAATACCAAGTCACATATAATAACTTCCTTACGCATTCTATATAGATCCTGTGTTAACTAAATAACTCTTCATCAAAAAAAAGAGAAAAAGCGAATAACCCTATTGAGATTCCATGAACATTTGACTAATATTGATCCCGTTTCTCGTAGCACGTCCCTACAGACGTCGTCATAAATGCAAAAAAGATCAGTTTGAGCTAAGTATTTGCCTCTGGTAGTATCAGAGATGCGTTAATGTGTATGAAGAGTGAAGTGTACTTCTCACAAGTTGATTCTATCATACTATGCGGTTGGAAAACATTATCTATAAAAAATCTGGAGTATTCCCAGTTACTGCAACACCGGTCGTCACGTTAGTAACATAAGAATTAGGCGTAGTCTTACGGAAAGATAATTTACTAGATGATGAGGTTATAAAACGTGCTAGTCAAGTTCACCCACAATTTATTCCAGTAGAGAGCATTAGGTAAATTATGATTAGTTTAACTAAAACCAACAGTCTATCGTTTCCTGGATCGGTGTTATGTATTCACCTGGTCACCCTTAGCTACCCCTTCCAACACTGCTCTATATAGGTCATCACTGCAAGTTGAGGAATATGGTGGCCTGACATAGTTAAATCACCTCAGTCAGTACACATTCGCAACATCGTCAACTAATATACTTTCCTAACCATGGTTTCTACACCTAAATAGGACACGCTTCATTGTATTCCCACTACATGTTATATAATGCTATGAAGATAATTGTGATCACAAGCTTGGAATCTGTCAGTTGTAAATGACATCAAAATAAATTAATTCACTTAGCACGCACATGTAACACGAAGAAAGCTGTGAGATCCATCTATTTCAACTGAGAAAGCGTGTGCGTTTATTTCTATATTTTATAAGGTGAAATCACATATGCATATATTGGTAATTCATCAAGAAAAGGTTATTTACATATCGAGTAGTGAAAAGATAATAAGTACTATATGTTAATTTATCCAAGTGAAATATCCAGAGAGAGAGAGAGAGAGAGAGTAAAAACTCTTAACTATCCTGGTGTATATGTTTGTGTATTGCGTTTCGTTTATACATTTTTAAGATTATCTACGTTTAACGTTAGAGCTTCACGTGACAACCACAGACACCATAGTTCACTTCCAAAGTGAAGAAGGTAAAACAGTCTGCTGAGAACATACATATTTGTTTGCTAGTTTTTTGATACTTTCATTTTTTGAATTGTGTTTCTGTTCAAAAATACTCTGCGGTTATTTTTTGCGATTTTTAATCCATTTTTCATACTTGTATGTATTAGCCTTTTTCCATTGGCTGTCTGTTTATATACGTCATTCATCAAGGTCATTTCTATGGCCTATGAAAAGATATACAAATACAAGAACAGTGGAATAATTTTAAACTACCGAGTTCCAATAAATGGTCCCATCCGATGAACATTGTTTCGAATAACTAGGGTTGGAAAGAGCTAACTGAACGTGCTCCATTATTTTCCGTTTGGTATTCGATATTCTTATATTATCAAGCGATTTATATCATCATCACAAAACGATAATTTAACAGAGTGGTTGAAGAACAGTGAATATGCTACTGTTGTGGTTACAAGATAGACATTTCAATCAAGATGTAAGACGTTTCCTAAAGTTTTGTCAAAAAATGAGACCGTACAACGAACAGTCCTAAAGCGAACCACCTACAAATAAGCCATATTTAATAACTGATATACCTGTGTAAAACAGATTATCACAAATATACGGGTTCGGTGGCAGCAAAAGTACCCTAAAATGAAGTCGATAACCCACTCATTAATTAATGTTAGTTTGTTGGAGACAATCGGTAGGAAGCTCTAGACCTAGAGTTTCGTGGTTGTTGGCACTCGTCAGCAAGGCGAATCTGCAACCTTGACGGGACTGATGTCCCGCCTGAGATTCGAACCCAATTCACCCAGTGTTGTACTCAACGATCTTACATCTTCGAATGTGCACCGCGATGGTGAGTTTCCTAGCTTGGTGGTCACATTGGAGATATGGTCGATAGGATTAGATCTGTACTCAGCAATAGACAACATGAAATTGGTTGCTGTCCAGTGATCAATCAATCCACTCATTATTTATTGATCAACCACCAGACAATTGGAAGTCAGAAAGCAATCTGGTTTTTAGAGTTCACTGTCAAAATATTGACGTCAGTAATGACGCATCTGCAAACATCCCTCTAAATATATCAAAGAACCACTAATTTCCACTTTACCTATTTAATTAACAAGCTAACGAAGAAAGATTTATGATATAGCATAGCACATACAAAATGCAGAAAAACCACTGGGAAAGAAATTTCAGGTACGATCAACTATTTTTAAAATAAATATACACTTCAAAAGTGGTAGGTAAACATATTTTAGTTCTGTACGAATGAAAACTCCCATTACATTGAGATAGTGCTATTGAAAAAGTATATACACTATTTGGTTAGGTAAAACTGGCATGTTATTTATGGTGCGTAGTCAGCATCAAACGAAACAAAAACTGAGAACACTAACAGTAGTAATAAAATACAGCTTAGGTTAAACATATTATCAAATAATTTATAAATGATAACTTCAGACACAACACAGGTGTGAATCTTGGTTTTAGAATATGATTCTATGAATCATCTATAGATACCAACCAGGATGGAATGTACTAAGCACGTCCAGTTACTGATCAGCATTGGCTGAAGTAAAAGTAGAAGGAACGAAACAAATTCGTGACTGTAAGACGAAATAACATCGATGGATGAAGTCCCTAATTGTTTTGAAGCATAAGGAGGAATATGGACGAAGATAAACAGGTAGACCTCGCACAAAAGGTGTATCAGATCAAGTTGCCATATTTTACAATAGTAAACAAAGAACAAGTGCATAGAAAAAGAGTGATATCAAAGTAGACAAAGTTGCATGACAGAATAAACAATCTGAAGATAAACGTTAGTGGAAAAAGAAATGTAGGCTTCCAGATCACAGTTCATAAAAACAGCAAGAAAGTTAAAAAATCGTATCAGTGGATCAGATTCATCCGCCGCTCAATCTTGTTCTAAACCTTGAAAATATTATCATCTTATATTTTCTTCTATCTTGCCATAGACTGTTTCACATTTATTTCCACACTCAATTCCTTCCTCTCTCTCTCTCTCCGCGGCTAGTAATGAGATATGGACCACCTGATACGTACACAACAGTGCATCCTTTTACATTTTATCAATCAGCCAATGATTTCCACAAATTATACATTATACATAGACTAGATATTAGTTTAAGAAATTCTGGCAACCATGTCAGCACTAGTAAAACAGCTAAGTTACATAATGAAAATAAGAAAACAATGATTTAATAAAATGATTTTAAACATCAATATTTACAGTGATTCTAATAATACTAATGAAAAATGCTAACAGTTTCAATTTCAAGCCTACAGTTTCAAATTTTATCATAAAGACTACATACAATTGTAATTAAACTGTAGATTAGAAAAATGTGCCCTCATACCAAATTCATCTGCCTTTCGTAAGACCAGAACTGTTATAGGTCTGTTGGTCACAGCTAACTGTGTCATCAATTTTTCTAGATCGCTCAATTTTGTAATTTGATCAGTAAATTTGTTACTATTTCGTTTATTTATGCCCAGGTTTACGCCATCGATACACGTTAATATGTCACCCTTTTGAAACTCGCAGATATCTGCAGAACTACCTAAATGATAGATGATCAAAAAACAAACGTAAACAGGTAAATTATATTAGCAAAACACTTTTCAACTGAAGAATGACACAGAAACTTAATACACTCGCGGAAAACATAAGAGTATGAAAAATATGTGCAACACCATTGAAATGCTTGAGAATTATATATTTATATGAGATTATTACACAACATCCAATTCCTGAAAACCATACCTCTAGAGAATAATGATATGTTCTTTTGAGCTTGTGCAGGTTTTAACCTGAATGAGAACAAGTAATATATGGTTGGCAGTTTTCCGCAAAACACATTCGAAAATGACACAGTAATGCCTGGATCTATAAGTTACTTAATCTGAGGGTGAAATCCGGTGACACAAAACAATATCGTTGGTGGTACTATCTATCTATCTATCTATAGAATGAGTGATGGAAAAGTACTTTATGTTACAAAAGCTCTCTGTTTGAGGTCGTACAATGGTATAAAAAACTATTACGAAGACGTCTAGAATGGTGACAAAGGATGGTATCACCAATCTTGTAGAATTTTGGGTGAGCAATATCTCAGTTTACTTCTAAATCCTCCGAGATCAACTTCCTCAAGAATGATTATCAAGTTGACTCTCATTATATGAATGTCGACAAGATAGAAAGACTTTGAATACCGTGACAGAAATTGTATGTTCTTGTCTCAAGCATAATGCAGTGGTTAGTGCCTTGAACACTTGAGTTATTTAGGGAGGTGAGGCAATTTTGATAGGTTGGTTGCAGACAAAATATTGATATCGAAATATGGCCTTACCCTAACGTTCTACGAGTTTCAGTACAAATATCACCAACGAGATATCTAACCCACCCATCAATCGGCGACACACTAGTAAGCAATTCATTTTGGCCCACACCATGCCCATTAGGCATGAACGCCTTGGACAGACAACATAGGCGAGCTAAGAGTTTGGGGTTAGAGTTGTGTTCCCACCATTTTATAACATGTAGTGCGACCACAGAGTCAGGAATGTCCCATTCAGGTGTAGAGCATATGACGCTGTTAGTCTGCACCAAGTGAGGTGACAAATTCAGGAAACGATCGATTTTTTGTCTGCTTTATTTCGGAGAAATATAGATTACCTTTATGGGGGGTCCCTGAGGAAGTCGAAAATCATCTGTTAGAGATTTGAGATAACACGGCTCAAAATAGTCTACAATTACGATGCATTCTCCCTTTTACCACTATATGAAGCCACTATTTCATAATTTCGCATAACGAATTGTTACTTGTTCGCATTTGTTCTCTATTTTGTTTTAATATCTTGCTTTTTTGTCTCCGTCATTACGAAGTGTGGCAAATTCGATCGATGCGTTATTGTGTGGGGCTCTATGTATTATGATAAGTTATCCGGATAAAAAGCATTTAAATATAAGAAAATATTCAACAATGCGATAAAAAAAGATATCCACATGTCCAGTAAATGAGTAAAACCAGTTGCCACATGAATATTCTATAAGTTGTTATTAGTGATGCATGGTCTGCAAAAAGAATTGAAACGGATGGTAGTGGAATCGATCGAAGTATATCCACATGATGACTTACCTATTTTCACACGTTCAACGACAAATGGGGATGTATTTGAAGGACCTTCAGCTTTAACTGTTAGTCCCCAACATGATTCTGAAACTCCAGGTCTTGCTGATAAACGTAATTTGCATTCTGAATAATCTTCATGCTTAGTGAATAAATCAACACTGTTTTTTGTTTCTGGGGAGGATATAAGCTTTTGGTTATCAGACCCACTATCAGGTGGAGCACGGCCATCCGTTGAAGGATCGCGAATTATTTCAATAGGGTTGTATTTAGCATGTTTTAAGATAGAATCATTCTTCGAAGGGGAAATATCGATTATTTTGTCAGTAGTGTTTTTCTGTAGGTGAAAAAAAATATGAATATGTTTATCATATTGACTCTGAATAAACGTATACACGTTCGAGTTACTTTAAACGCTATTTTACTAAGCAGATTCCTAGAAAGCTGAGGTTACATAGATTTCTCCGCTCATGTTGTGCTTCTTTTAAAGGTTATTGGTCGTTACAAGAACATGACAGCCTTCACAAAAATTACTATAAGAATACAAAAGATTGAAAAGGAAGAATGTAAAAACAGATATTCCGACAACCAATCTGAGCACAGTTCCCATAACGAAATGAGACAACTCCGGTAACTGGTGTGAAGTAGAAAGTTATGAAAGAATGATTCTTTGGACTTTAAGTACCTCAGTAACACTTTCAGTTGACCACCGAAGTGATCGAGTCTATGACTCTTATGTCCACTGGTGAATACAGTGACACTAAACTAATGGACAGAATTTCTGAATATCAGTCCCAAATTAGCAACCTGAGAGAATATCTCCTTTTTTGTTTGCTTTCCCAAAGATTCTTATTTCCTAATTTATTTTACTTAGTACACCAGAGGCTGAAAGCTTAAATCTGTTTAGATTGCTTTAAGTCACCCGTTATGTTACTGCAAATACTCTTCATAGGGTTACTACTATCACTAATGGATTCAACCGCCCTCTAAACATCCGGCGTACTATGTCGAATTATGGCCATAAGAAGTATGTAGCGAAAATACAGATGAGGACTGATGAAATTATTAGTTGGGAAATTACACTCAGTCTTGGCAAAATATGAATATCTTACATCAGACACACATTAAACAAATAGTCTCTACATTATAGAGGCGACATGAGTTGGACTTCAGCTTCTGTTGCTTCTTTGTTTGCTTTCTTTATTTACGTTCCACATTTTTTGTATCCACCTTCAGAACCTCTACAACTTGGATGATAACTATGCTTCCTTTTCCAGGAGGTCATGATACATGCTTTAAGTCTTCGTAAAAGGAGCACAGACTACAAATAACTTATTCATCCTAAGGGAGTAGAATTTTATATAAATCTTTGACAAGGTGATCCAGCTTTCAAAACGCAACCATCGTTTCGACGATGACAACTAGAAATACAGATTATATTTTAAATCATCCAGTAAGAAGTCAAAAAAGAATAACCTTATTGTCAAAGTTTCAGATCTCGAGACGGTGTTTTTTAAAATCTTTTTTTATTTGATCACATTGATAACATCTATGCCGCAGAATTTCGAACATTGAATACCTGTACAGTTCTGCTAAAAAAATCCAAGGTACCAACGTATATTTTAATGAACGTCACAATCCTTATTCAGAAGTAAAACAAAGCGTGTATCGCAAGTTTAAAGTTTTAGGTAGAAGCATCAGTTATGACTTTTGCGCCAAACACCTGAAAGTTATGGCTGAACGCAACATTTGGAAAAAAAGTGGAAAATACAATTGTGTACTCAGATTAAAAGAAAAAACAATGAACTAGACACTCACTAGAAGTTCTGTTTTGGTTTGTCGCACAGGTGGGGAGCAATCGGAAATTCCATTTAAGTCAATCTCAGAGGAGTTTGAATTAAGAAGTTCTGGACTTTCAGTCGATCGGGATTTGTTCACAGGAACAGATTGTGAAGTTGCAACTGCGTCTACGTGTCTTTCCAAATGACTAACGGCCAGTGGATCAAAAGCACTACCCGTTAACAGTGCAACACCAGGGCTTTTTATCGTTGGTGGTGAAGCTAGTTCTAATGAGGATATATGGCCGCTACCTACAAGGCTACGCTGATTCCTGTAGCAAAAGAAAGTAAAAAATTGGAAAAAATACAGCTATTTCATGTACAAAATCTAAATTACATAAAGCATGTAGGAATTATCGTACTACTCTCTGAGAGTAATAAGTTCAGTACGACTTCAAAATGTAACGTTAGGATTAGTGTCTGTGTGTGTGACAGATGGCCTACATGAAAAAGTAGCAGCATAAAAGAAAATCCTAGTTCAGCTATTTTACAAATTAAAATGTCATCAAAGATACTCGAACCTGTGTAATACTGAAAAGCAGTTACGTGAGTTAGCACCCACGTTAATCGGAAAGTTAGGACCAAACAGTCTGATAAGTGCATATTATTACCATGACAGGTACATACTTGACTTGGCGTAGGCGGTCTTTCGCTTCTTCTCTGCGCCTTTCATTCTCCTTGCTTTCACGTTCTTGTAGTAAGACCAAATGCGTTGCTTCCGTGCGTAAGGCTTGACGACGCTTTTCACGCCATTTATCCAACTTCTAAATGTAAGCAAGGAATTTAATTTTAAATTTTATTCTTCAACAGCTAACAGCGTAGCACATAATGAAAGCATGAACTAAAGCAACTGCGCTGTAAATCCACCAAGCTACAATTCACCTCTATAATGGGTGATGTGGTGTTTCACTATGCAGTAATTTAGATGGAGAAAATCATGCTTAATGGACGTATATTTTCTTTGTTTTGAGCAACCTAACATACTGTGATAATTGAAACAACACTAAGAAGAATGTTAATTAGATGCATTTATAATGATACTAAGCTGAATTATTGTCAATAGCCAAACTGATCGATCAGATGAGGTATTTCCGCCTCATAAAACAAGACAGTATGTGAAACTGATAACGTGTGATGACTTCAGGAGATTTTTAATTCCATTTTTTCAGGTTGATTTAGTGGAATCAGTCCAGCTACGGTGGATTACGACGAAACTAGAAAGAAATTGAAACTACAGCGTCATAAAAGCAAACAAATGACCTCACCTGGTTAACTAGTTCACTAGTTACTAGCCGGTCCTAAGACTGGATAAAGAGGGGAAGCTTGAGCATAGAGATAGCAACCCTACCCCGTAAAACAAATCTAACCACTAAAGAAAATTCAAAGCACAAACAAAATATAAAAAATAAAAGCAAAATTATTCCTCACTGCAATCGGAGAGGCGAAATGACACCAGTTGGTGAAAGCCTTCGGGAAGCCAACTGGTCAATGTGTCTTCTTTCTCTCCATGAAAGCGAAAGTAAACGTGGGGACACGAAATGTCTGCACTATGTTTGAACCTAGCAAGGCAGACCAGATTGCAAAAGAGATGAGAAGGTATGACATTGAAGTGCTTGGAATCTGCGAAAGCAGATGGAATGAATGTGGACTCTCCAAGCTGTCAACTGGAGAATCAATAATCTACTCCGGTCACCTAGACGACAACCACGAACGAGCACACTGAGTTTTCGAGTGGCTATCATGATGTCCCCAACAGCATCAAATGCTCTCTCTCATGCAGTGGAACCAATCTCCTCATGCAGGATCATGACACCAAGATGGATTCACCTCAAAAAGAAGGAAAGTCACAATCATACAATGCTACGCTATGCTATGCACCTACAAATAAAGCGGATCAAGAGAAGAAGGAGGAATTCTATAGACAACTGCAATCAACACTGGACACCACCCCAACCCAGTTGGCGACATTAAAATCCATTCTAATGGGTGACATGAATGCCAAACCTCGAGGGGACAACACAGAAAGAGAACTCATCATAGGTCGACAGGCACTTCGTGAAATGAACGAGAATGGAGAACTGTTTGTAGACTTCTGTGCATTCAACGATTCGGTGATTGGAGGGAGGCAGTGTGTACAAACACAAGGATATTCACAAGGCAGCGACATGGATTTGATTTCACCAGACACCAGGACACACTACACTAAAAATCAGATCGACTTCATCTCAATCTCAAGAAAGTGGAGACGCAGTCCACTGGACACAAAATCAGGTCAACAAGAGGAGCACATGTAGGCTCAGACCACACACCACCTAGTGCAAGGAACCTACCTGCAAAATCAACTTAAAAGCCTTCAAAGAAGTTGGTGATAGACCACAGTTCAAGTTCAACACCCACAACAGAAACTGAAGGACAAAACTACAAAGGAAATCTTCACATCAGTCAGCCATCAAGACAAAATGGGGATATCCAGGGACATCCTTGAAGAAACCTGTGTGGAAGAACACTGGAACTATTTGAAAGCTATGAGGAAGGAAACCTGCATAACTGTATTAGGAGGGAATGGATGTTGATGGACACATGGAAGCTGATAGAGCAGGGAGAGGAGGATGGTGAAGCAGAAGACCAACCAGTGCAGAGCAGGGATGAACAACGAAAAGAAGAACTGAATACAACGCATGAAGCACTGGACAAAGAAGTGAAGAAGAATGCACGGGAAGACAAAACACACTTCTACGACACACCTGCAACTGTAGCAGAACAGGCTGCCAGCTGGTAGGAGTGACAGAGACCTGACAACATTGTATCAAATAACAAGGTTACAATCTGGGAGGGAAGAGATCAACTCAGATGAAACCAATAAAAGATGATGAAGGGAATTTAATTACCAAAGAAGAGAAACAAAGGAAACGATGGGCTGACCATTTCACAAAGCTCTTGAACCGATCACCACCACCATCTGCACTTCGTCCAGATATACCACATGCAGCCCAGCCATAGAACTACAAGTGAACACAAATCCTCCAACAAAAGTCGAGGTCCTGAACACCATAAAGCTACTGAAATGCAGATAAGCAACAGGACCAGATGGAATCCCACCAAAAGCACTGAAAACAGACGCAGAGACAACAGCGGATATGCTCACACCACACCACTATTGCAGAAGGTCTGGAAGGAAGGGAAGGCACCTGCACAATGATTGGAAGGAGGGCTACCTTGTCAAACTCCCGAAGAAGGGAGACCTCAGTGTTTGCAAGAACTGGAACGGAATCACTCTCCTGTCCACCCAAATCAAGCAAAATATTAAGCTGCATCATACTGGAGAGACTAAAGGATGCACTGGATTCAAAACTATGACATGAACAGGCTGGATTCAGGAAGTACAAATCATGTGCCGACCAAATTGCAACACTACACTACGCATCATCATAGAACAGAATATAGAATGGCAGTCAACTCTACACCTTAACTCAACTTCATCGACACTGAAAAGGCTTTTGACAGCGTCGACCGAGAGGTAATTTGGAAACTGCTTCAATACTACGGAATACCACAAACCTTTATCAATCTCATTCAACAACTATATGAAGACTCCACATGCAAAGTAATTCACAATGGAAAGCTCAGTGATGCCGTTGAAGTGAAGACAGGAGTAAAACAAGGTTGCCTACTATCACCCATCATATTCCTCATTCTGGTTGACTGGGTCATGCAAAAACAGTGAGGAGCAAGAAGAGGGGGATACGCTGGACTACGGAAAATAACCTACAAGATCTGGATTTCGACAATGACTTATGTCTAATGTCACACAAACTGGAAGATCTACAGACGAAAACTGACAAGTTGACAGAAGAGGCAGCGAACACGGAACACTATTCAAGTGAACGTAGAGAAGACAGAGGTGATGAAGATAACCAACCAACAACTCCAACAGCAACAACAACAAGCTCCAATCACCATCAATGGGAGAAACTTAAAGGAAGTAACCTCTTTTACCTATCTAGGCAGCACTGTCTCAACTACAGGCGCCACAGACGAGGATGTCAAAGTCAGAATCGGAAAAGCAAGACAGGCGTTCATTAGCCTGAAACCAGTGTGGAGATCTTCTGCACTCAGCATACAGTGTGAACAAGATCCGGATTTTCAACACCAATATCAAGTTAGTGCTCGTGTATGGTTCAGAGACTTGGCGCGTTACGAAAAGATTTCCAATAAACTACAGACATTTATCAACAACTGCCGCCTACACTGGCTCGTTACTGAAGATCAGATGGCCAGAATAATAAGAATAAGCAATAAGGAACTCTGGCTGGCAACGAACCAACCAAGAACCTATCGCTCATCAAATATGCAGAAGGAACTGGAGATGGATTGAATTGTGCATACACTGGGACAACCACTTAGAGACATCACACGCCAGGTCAGGCCCTCAAGTGAAACCCAGATGGGAAGCGACGAGTTGGGCGTCCGTGGTGAGGGTGACATGGAGGAGGTCGTGTGAGGAAGAAGTGAGAGCTTTTGGGCAGTCGTGGGGTCAGGTTCAAAAGTTTGCAGAGAACAGAGTGCAGTGGAGACGTGCTACTGAAGCCCTATGTCCACTAGGAACCCAAGGGACAAATAATAATAATAATGACCAGTGATTTCCTCATCGTTAATTGCACAGAATAAACACTCGACCATCTACATGTGGACTTCTATGCAACTGCCTGATATTCCCGTAATTTCAGTTTTGATAGTAATTAAAGACAGCAATTAGTAGTAGAATTAAGAACGGAGGCCTCTTCCCAGCTAAGACTCACCAGCTACGTGTACCTACCTCAGAGTGAGGGACACTGTGTTCCAGGTTTCAGTCTCAGTTGGGACAGAATCATTCAGTGGAGGGCAGGTACATCTAGTTGATGAGTTTCAGGGGAAAGGAAACACACGTTCTGAATTTCCCTGCTAACCACTACCAATCATTATTATGAATAGCTCTGTCATTTAACTACTCATTCATTCTTCACGAAAAATAAATCAACTGTCACGCAATGCAACATCCTCAGATTTGCAACGCAGGAGTGAAACATATAACGTTAATTATCGTACGACATTTTCGCATTGTGATGAACTTGCATTTATTCAGACAAGTAGTCATTTCATAGCTGATAAAACCCAGAATGCACAGAAGGATACCAATAACGTACGGACTAAAGAAATTATGCACTGAGTTACGTTGCAAAGACAGAAAAAAGAAAGGTGAGATAATTAACTTTTATTGATATCAGTGTTAGTAAAAAATGGTGAAGGGTAACGAAATGGAAAATAAAGGATGTCGAACGATAAATTTCAGAAGAAGAAGAAGAGGGAATAAATCGGAACTAATATGCCATCTTTGGTGGTTATCACCCGAAATTTCCAACCATCAAATGGCCCACAGACACACCTGAGTTATCCTAAACCCAGTTCAGACTTGAATAAGATAAACACGTTGGTCATCTAACCGTCCTCGAAGTTGAGAAGGCTGTTTATAACCTGAACGCCAAGCAGTAGAAAATGGCGGTTTGCCACCAGAATTTTCTAAGGATGGAGATGGGAAATTACTGAGTAAAGTGACCGAGGTACTAGGTGGCGTATGGGAATCAGAGGTAGTAACGTCAGAATGATCCTCTTCACTGGTCGTTTCCATGACAGACATTAGAAATCAGTTTGAATGACATCAAACTTAAGACCTTTGGGTTCACCGTCATCTAACACCTAACTGGAGCTCGAGAGCAGCAAACTCAATAACCTGAGGTAGGTGTCAAACCTGAATGAAGATGCATCGATGAGATCTTTACCCTTCGTTAAGACATGGAACACAGGCTTACTTAACGACCCTCAGCACGCATTTTTCTTGAACTGAAGACAGTACTCGACTTTTTCAACTAAGAGGTGCTTTAGCAGTGTCTGACTGTGAAGAAAGTACCGAGCAAGCATGCAATGCTAATCAAAGCTATCTAGCCAGGCTTACTCAGCAATGACAGGTATTATGAGAAACTGTCGTCTGATGTAATGACAACCGGGTGTACACTAAGGATATTCACTGTAACCATTCCTCTTCACAATTGTTATACACATGCTACCGCATAGAACCATAGGTACCTTTGACTTGACAGGGATTGACTTATCCCTTGAAAGGCATCCTGTTGGATTGAAGTACGCAAACGATATTGTCACGTCAGGTGAAGGCTTTTTGTACGGCCTAACTAAAACTTTTTACACATTTTTTAATACAGCTGAGATGGACAGTCTGGGACGCTAGAGATCTTCATTACGCTTTAATCTGATTATTACCATGATTCGTTTTCTTAAGCCTGTTTCAGATTATATTATACATAATAGATGGTATTGAATACGTTTGATAGAAGTCTGAAACATCTCCGCCGCAGGATTCACATTCATTAACTAGGGAATTAACCCCTTAAACATAGGGGCAATACTATAAATATCCAGTCCATAGTTTTTACGAATATTTAGAAGAATCTGAGTCCCAGGTCTGACTAAAGCATTATATAGTTAAGTTTTCAGATCATCTCAGTGTGCTTGAAAGACCAGAACTTGATTTTTCTGAACGTTTAGCTGGGTATGTTGCAGCTTCTGCAGCCGCATCGTGCAGGTGTTTTTCCTTCCTAAAAGAAAAAACAGACCGCAGTATTGGGGAAGACATAAGCACGTTTTAATCGTACTACAAATCAACAACTACGTTTATATTGTTCACTCAGTTAACTGATTTGATCACATTACAAGGAACTATATGGCCTTCTACGAAACTTCAAACCCAACTCAAAAGTCTAAATAGTTAACTTTACGAAAAAGGAATGCTAACGGTTAAATACTCATAAATAAGTCATAATGCCTATAATATGTTACCAGCTCCGACCGTTCAAATCTATTATAATCTGGTTGCAATACCATAATAATATCAAATTACTGCAGATAATCCCACTTAAGATGGAACTACATTGTCTATCTAACAAGAATGATATCACCCTTATCCTGAACCAAGTTAAACAGATTGCGTCGTACAGTGAAAATCAACACACGACATGGTACTACCGAGTAACAGATCAAACTGCCACACCTCACTCCACCACATCAAGAGAGAAAACAAGATGGAAGAAAGAGAAAGAAAGGAAGAGAGCGACTACAAGTCATAGAAAGAAAACAAGAAGGAATGAAGCAGTAAAATTTAGCATGGCAATTAGGATGAAGATGATGAGAGGATACATTTGAGCCACTGATATCAATTCTACGCCATATTAAATAGAGTCTTCAACCACCAAATTTGGTTGTCACAGGCACGAAATCAACTGTCAAAGACTTTAGGGTCTGATGCCATGTTTTGGCCCGGCGGCTGACATTGGAACTCTTTTCGACCTGAACATACTTCAGTCAACATCATGCGACAGAGCAAACGGTGACTAAGCGTGAATAACATGTATCTCAACCAGGAACGAACGAAATCCACTCAACTACCTTGTGCACATCCGTGCAGTAGACAATGAACCACATCTACTGTGAGGGCCAATAATATTACCTGGCTGGTCAGACCTCAGTAGGTGGAACAGGGCTCGACACAGTGACCCAGTGATTGACAGTCATCTCTCCAAACCACTAAGCCATAGCTCCACCGTCCCAAACGACGTGGCTCAATGAAGGTCCACAACTTCATCAATTGACCTTCTTCTTATGACCGAAAGCCATACGCCTGACTTCTGCATTACTGAAATGATGACACTGCGACACATAGAATATGCTACGGAGGTAACGGTGGTCAAACACCTCAAGTCTATGATGTCCTCCACCCTTAATAACCATGTCTCGAAAGCATACAGAGAACAGCAAACTGCAGCACAGTACACTCGACCCTTAATGGACTCGGCAATCGGATATCACAGCGGTGTCACAGATGGCGTGAGATGGTGAAAGTCAATCGAGGCTTTTTTATGCATGCAGAGATTTCTTCGGCCACAGACTCACCACGGTTGATCCAACTTCCCATGCAAGTGAAGTCTTCAACGCAACTAACCATTTCATTCTCTATTGTTAAACAAGGAACCAGCGAAGACCAGTCTTAGGGCAAAAACTTGGATTTGGATGGAGAGGAAGCCATCCCAAACATTCTCGAATTGCCAGTCAAGGTGTTCAAAAGATTAAATTTTGTCAGCGTCTTTATCTAACAGGACTATATTATCTGTGTACTCTGGGTCCACTAAGTGAACCTCCTGTCATAAGAGAAGAAATACTCAGCAACCTGGTGCAGATTCTTGTAGTAGGCAGTGAAGCACATCTGCTGTATGAGCTTGTGATAACTACCTGCTTACCGAACCTCGATAGATGGAGTAATGTTCGAACCCATCATATTCCTAAGCTAATGAACCGCAGCTCCAATGACGAGAAGGGGGCGACTACCATAAGTATATCAATGGTAAAATTAAATACGAACAGAGAGAGAGTAGATATTCATAAGAAGCTATAACTATGATAAAACTCACATCCCTTACAATGTGCATTCAAAAGAGAGGAGAAGCCAGGTCGAAATCTGAATATTATCCGATCAAGAGCGTAATAAGCAATTAAACAATAGAATACGACATGTAGGAAAATGTCTAGGAGTAATTAAATATAAGTCTGGGAACACATTACTATTTACTGAATACCAAACAGTCACAAAGAATCAAAAATTGAGTCTTTAGCATAGTTTTACGCTGTAGCGAAGGCACATATTATTATCACAATTCCAAACTAAGACGATATCTAAAAAACATAGGAACTGGTAGAGGGTGATTCCTCCTACTTCAATGTTATTATTCGTTGGATATTTCATATGGTTAAACAGTATTATTTACCGTATGATATTTCGAACACAATTCATTGTTCATATTTGTATCAAAAGTAACTTCACATTTCTCACATTCTTTTTTATAGTCACACTTCTCTTTGATTCGTAGTAAGGATAAAATAATCTTGGAATGAGTATTAAGTAGCAACGCATGCAGTGATATAATAAGACTGGAAAAAGTGATAATCCTTAAAAATAACTTATCAGGGTGAAGGAAGAGAATGATAGCTGAAGCTTTCTTTCTCAAACCAACAGCGAACAAATGCAACAGGAATGAATCAACACTTATTCTGGATATCTGCAAAATTCTACTATCCTTACGACGAATGAAGGAGGGATAGAACTATACAAGTTGGATATGAAAAATGTGGAGTTACTTTTGATATGCATTTGAACAGTAAATTGTGTTCGCAAAGTCGTCCAGCATATAACTCTCTCACTGTGTGAAATATCTAACCAAGTGAAATTATACACTATCACAATGCCCAAGTTCTAATCCTACATAAAGATTCCTCTTTGTATGAGTGGTAATTGCTACAAATTTTACAGCAAATATGTAAATTAAATACCACCAACCGGCCTACAAGTAATATATTTCAAAACTTAAACATGACTCCGAACACAATACATCAAAGATTGAAAATATTCTGCAGACAAAAATAATACGAAGGACTCACTGATTGCCATTCTTCTTCTTCTTCAAAGCAATTATTATTTACTTGTAAATATCCGTCGCCAGTAACTGACTGAGACCGACCAGTAGTGTTGAAAACGGACTTTCCTCCGAAATTCGGTGATGTAGAATGAGAAAGACTCATTGTTTTATGTTTATGATCTTGAGTATTATCCCGAAAATCGAACGGCTAATAAGGACTAGTGAAAATGCGATTGGCTCGAGTGAATGACAACCAGCAAAGTTGTAGTTCTCCAGTAATTATAGCACCTGCTTAAAGCGAAATCAAAACGAACGTAAAGCAAATTCGATACAATATCTTGGAATATGCTTTCATCAGTAATTGTCACTTGAAAAGATCAGAACTAATAGGATTATAATCACAAGAAAGTGTTAGGGGATTAAGAAAATATCCAACAAAATATAGCACAAGTTGTGACTCAGTAGCTACAATATATATACAATGCTTTACCTAAAAACTAATGATGAAACAAACTAGTTGTTGAAACTATCACCTGTTGACTGCAACCAAAGAAAAATATGGGCAAAGTATGTGGCATCAGGTATAATTGTGTATCAGTCTTAGCTGTCATAAACTATCGAAAAGATAGGAAGCCGAAAATAATAAATGGAAATAATTACGTAAGCAGTTGGACGAAAATACAACGCGAAAAGTAGAGGCGGTGGAACGAGACATGACATGAAGACCGCATAAAAGTGTGACTTTTCCAGTTATCGCAATCTACAACAGGACAGAAAAAGAAAACTCATAGGAATAAAAAGGTCATAAGTTTATCAAGACGGTTATGACAGGAGACAGCATAATTAGATGACGGTTAATGGAAAGGTTGCAAATCTCAATGATAAAGAGTCGGTCGATTTTAGGCCAGATCAACATTCAGCAACTCCATAAATTTGTTCCCCATATTGATATAGCAACCCTTAGCTTTCTTCCAACATATTCTCATCTAAGCCAGCATTTCTCAAGGCAATGGTGGGTCGAAGTGCGTAATGCATGTTTCATACAATTCAGTTGGTGCAGGTTCACAATGCCAATTACCAACCCATCTGCCTCAGCTACAAAGATAGTGATAGTCGAAAATAAGTACTTTCCTTCTCTTTATATATATATATATATATATATATATATATATATATATATATATATATATATATATACCTAGGGCATGTTCAAATCGAAAAGCTTTACAAAAATATTAGGCAGAGTATAACATATGTATAATACCAGTGTTTCAGGTGACTAAATATTTATCGAATAAGTGCTTAATAGAAAACTAAGGGAAATCCGGTTGACTGTGTCAAGGTAGGATAGGCACATTGTTTATTTTCAAAAATAAATTCTTAACAGAGTTGAATGCAAGATGTTGTCTGAAGATATTAGTATTTAAACCTTAAAAATATGTCAGGCTCACCCGATGCCCTTGGCCTTGAATTTCATCGCTAGTTACTTTTCTTATATAACATTCGGTAATTGATTTCCGTGCAGACGTTTTATAAATAAGGGTTGTAATCCAAATCCATCAAATCTTAAACGCTATTGTATATACTGCAGTAGGTAAGCATGTACACACGGTTCAAAAATGTTTGTACCAGTAAATGCACAGATACCTAGAAAGTGAGATGTGCTTTGAGACAACAACATGGCTATTTCAGTTAGCCTCATTAATAGTCAAATATGATGTTCTCCCCCTCTTCTTCAGCTCGATTTAAATTGGGACGAGAAGACCTAGCTGGAGAGCCATTGTAATTACGATGAACGAATAGAGAGACAAAATCAAAGTAGAACCTTAGAAACAAGTGCATCACCTCAAGTTCCCACACTTTACGGTAGTACACGAAGAACAGATGGATAGAATAAGAGTGATATCAAAGTGGATTAAGTTGTGTGACAGAATAAACAAGTTGAAGATAACGGTTAGTAGAAATATTCAAGCCTTAGAGAAAGTCAAAGAGTGAATACATTTGTGCCACTGAGACTGATTTCCACCCATGTCACCAATCCCCGACCATTGGTTCTCATAATCTCGTGGACCCCAACCAGGCAGTCCAAATCTCCGCCACACCGCTCAGACCAACAGTTAAGGACTTCATGGAGTGGTACCAGGTCTTGGTATGGCCATCCTGAACCCTTTTCCAACCTAATCCAACTTCCCTAGGCATGGCAAATCGAGGTAGGCGGTGGGTCGGCATGCGTAGTACATATCCAAGCCATTTCGGTCGACTAAGGTTTTCAACCTCATCAACCGAATTGCTTGTGTTGCCTAGTAACTTTGGCCTGACCTCAACACTGCTTGCACGGTGATTCCACTAAACGCGAGCAATGCTAAAAAGACACCTATGACCAAAACCTTGCAACTGCTTCATGTCATCTACTTTCAACGGCTGTCTCCCGGCCGTACACTAGGGTAAAACAGACTGAGGCGCAGTACACTCATCTTTTGAAAAATAGTCGGATATCTCGCCAGTTGGCATCACAGGTGACGCAAGTTGGCGAATGCCGAACGGGCCTTCTGTGTCCGCGCTGAGATTTCATCAGCAACCTGTCCGTTCGAGCTGGTGCAACTCTCCAATAAAGTGAAGTGGTCGACATATTCCACCACTTCACTCCCTATCACTAGGCTTGGAGTCATTGCAGACCAGTCCTGGAGCATCATCTTACATTTGACAGGTGATACGGAAACGCATGCCAAAAATACACAGATTTCTGCCTAATGCGTTCGGAAGACCATGCATGTGTTTCAGTGTTTTCATCTAGCAGGACAATATCACCTGCGTACTCCAAGTCAACCTGATGACATCCAGGGAGTAGACCAATCCCTGTGAAGTCAAACGTACATGGGGTTATGCCGATTAGTTCGTCTCTAACGAAGCCAAATAGGAACGGTAACAGTGGGTATCCCTGGCGGACACCACTAGTTGGTGTCAGCTTACTTGACAACTCACTATAAGCCCGGGAACGGCTGCGTCAGCTCGAGTGGAGGGCTTTGGTTAATGTTATATACTTTCTCGGTAATCCCTTCACAGTCATACACTGCCACAACACATCATGGTCAATAGAGTCAAATGCCACCTTCAGGTCAAGAAACATGGCGAATGTCGGCCACTGGTAAATATGCTTGTATTTCAGGACCTGTCGGAGGTTGAAAATATGATCGATCCATCCTTGACTAGGTCTGAAACCTGCTGATGAACCAAAAGTGACATATTACGGATTAACCTGACAGCTGGGCACAACTCTTCAGCGATTGAGGTTAAAACCTGGTCAGCAGCTATGTTTCGTAGCTCAGCGCCATCAGTAACCCGAAGGTCCCGATCCTGCCAATAACCAGGTTTTTACTTCATCTTTAACCATCACCAAATATAAAAATCATTTACCAGCAGAGTATTTTGTCGTAAATCTCAAAATGAAAGCTTAAAGTCAACGTATTGTGATTCCCATTTGTCTTTTATGTTGTTTGTACTTTAATTTGCTGATGCGAGGTATGATTATTTGTATCATGTTGCAGTAGTTCCAGTTCTCACGTTGATACTGAATAACCAACATAGAAAGTCGAATGGGTTTGTTAATAAGTATTTAGAGATTAGTATTTCAAGATGGATATGAGACAGATCCGGACATTTCATAGATAGGATTAAACCAATTAGCTATAAGAATAAAGTGATGTTAGCCCTAGTTAAATGTACCAATTTGATCCTCTGTAGAAAATAAACATAATATAAGACCTACTTTATTTCTGGTACATCAGTACATTCCTGAATCCGAGTAGATTAAAATCATTGGTTTCGGTGCACAAAAATCATTTGTGAACAATGATGAACCGATTGGAGCTTTCCTAAGTGATCAGAAATATATTATTATGCTAAAGGTTAAAAACCATAACAGAACAAATAATGGTAGTTCCAAACGAAAATCAAAACAGAGAATAAAATTCAGATGCAGGGACACATTTCACTGAAGCCCTACTGTTAGCAAACGGGGTACTACGTATGCCTAGTCACCGATTGCCTCGTCACACAATGTTGGCTGAGGTGGATCTAGGCTGGAAAAAGGCCCGAGGTGGCCAGACTAAAACATGGCACCAATGTATGAAGACTCTGACTGTTGGTTTAAGCCATGTAGAACGATGCAGACTAGGTGGTTGGGGTCCACGGGACAAGAGGAACCAGTGGTTGGAGACCCTAGGTGATATGGCTCAGAACCGAAGTCAGTGGCGCAGATGTATACATACATTATCCTCATCTTAACAACACTATACCGAATGTCACCATTTGGTCATTCCTCTTTCCTTTCTCCTCGTACTTTATATTTCTTTTGACTGCATTCTCTTATCTTCATCCTTCACCTCACTACCTTTTTACTTGATGTGCTGATATGAGGTGTGGCAACTCGAACCGTTACGCAGTAATGCCTGGTCCTATGTTGATAATGATGATGATGTTAGCAAACGGACAATACATATCATGCTAACATTGAATTTGAATTTAATGACTTCTTTCTGCTGTACGTCGAAACTACGAATAGTAAGGCTGAAGTTTTAGCCAGGTACATAGGTCCAAGGATTCGTATCGTAGATCTGTTTGGTGCAATTACGTCTATGATATCCAGTCACAATAAAAACGCAAAACAATAAAACATAGCGGATATACTTGGTTTTGTAGGTGTCTTACTCTCTTGATCGTGCCTCAAAAACTGATTTCACATAAAAAAATTACTCAACGAACTATATATATATATATATATATATATATATATATATATATATATATATATATATATATATATATAGCGGAGCACAAAAGTTTAGCGAAGCAGAACAATAGACCCAACCAAGATAAGTGATTTAGGGAAGGCCTCTGCTGTCACTGTGCTTCCACTGACCCATAATTAAACCATGGGGTCTGGCAGGGTGACAATTCTAGAATCCAATATAGCTAGGTGGAGGGACAGGTTGGTCGTAGAATCTTTGTCCATTGTATCAACACTTAACACATGTTAGAGGCATATTGATCACATACTTCAGATAGAAAATTTTACCACCATTTAAAGAAAAGAATGAGGAACTGTCGGACTACGTAATTGAAGTTTTAATGTTATGTGATTACTTTGATATGAATATGAGTAGT